CTTCTCAGTAAAGTATCACAAGAATGGAAAAGCAATTATCCAATGTACTGTACTAATAAGAAGCCAGTAGATGATCTAATTCACACCCACATAGAAGAAAAACTCATTTCAATTCAAGTTGCGGGGAAGGGATCTTGGGGTGCTCCCACTTAATGGACACAATGTAGGAGTGTATGGCACACTTTCTGGGTGTGGGACACAACTACAAGAGGGATTCTACCCAACAAATTCAAATACTGTGACCTGGTTGTTTATATCCTCACATTAACCTGAAATTTAAAAAAAGTGTGTGCAAAATCTCTGTACTGAAAACTAGAAAAATTACTAAGAAAAATTAAAGAAAACTTAAATGAAAGGCAAGGTCTGCCATGTTCAATTATTGGAATCCTTAATATTGTTTAGACTTCAATTCTCTCAAATTGATTTGTTGTTTCAATGCAATCCCCATCAAATCTTCACCAAGCTGGTTTTGATGGAATAGATTGACCAATGATATATTTACAGAGAAATGCAAAGAACCTATAATAGCTAAGGCCACATTGGAGAAACAGCAGCAAAAAGAACTTAAATGATCAGATTTTAAGACTTAGTGTAAAGTTACAGCAAGTAGGACATGGTGGTATTAGCATAAATGTAAGTAAATAGGCAAACAGAATGTAATAGAGAATTCAGAAGCACAACACCACAGAACACTGCAATTCAGTAAAGGGAAAAGATAGTCTTCAATAAATAGTGCTGGGTCAATTGAATAACCACATGAAGAAAATGGACCCTTGACCACCATCTCACATCATACGAAAAAATTAATTTAAAATGAATCATAGACCTAAATGCAAAAGCTAAAACAATGAAGGTTCTAGGAGAAAATGTAGAAGAATAACTTCATGACTTTTGGATAGGCAAAAGTTTCTCCATAAAAGTTTAGTGGGCACAAAAGCGCTAACTATAAAGAAAAGACTGAGAAATTGACTTTCATTAAAATAAAAAAAATTGTTTATAAAAAGGCACCAAAAAGAGAGTGATAAGGCAACCAGAAGCCTGGGAGAAGATATTTGCAACACTTGTAACAAATCAAAATAAAAAATATCCTCCTTTATAATAGCTAAAGTCAATTAGCTATTATAATTAATTATAAATAATTTGTACTTTTCATTTAAGAGAATAAAAAATAGAAGACTTGCAAAGACATTTCATCAAAGAGACTATGAAAATGACCAATACACAAATGGACAGAGTCGGACATCGTTAGCTATCAAAGAAGCCCAATCAAAACCATAATTTTTCATGGGGGCCAGCGTAGTGACTCATGTCTGTAATCCTAGCACTCTGGAAGGCTGAGGCTGGTGCATTACTTGAGCTTCGGTTGCTGTGAACTATGATGCCATGACAGTCTACCCAGAGTAAGACTCTGTCTCAAAAAAAAAAAAAATCAGATGAGCTAATATTTATGTTTTTCTCTTTTAAAACTGTAGAATAATTACAAGTAATTATACCAATCTCTTTCCAACCCAAAATATGTAAGAGCTAGAAGTATGAGGCTAGAGGAAACATTGGATTGGAAAGGGTTTTAACTAGTAAGTGAATTTACAAAAGTTGCTAGGTATTAAAATCCATATACAAAAGTTAATTGTGTTTGTATATATCAGACACAAATAGAAAATTAAGTAAATATCATTTACCATAGCATCACAAAGTATCAAATGCTAGGAGTGAATATTAAGAGTGTGCGTTCACCTGGATGGAGTTGAAACACAA